ATAAAAAATAACAATACAACAAAAATAACACAAATAAAAGCCAATACAGTATAACAACTACTTGCATGCATTTACATCATGATGGGTATCATAAGTAATCTAGAGATGATTTAAAGCAATGGCCCCAAACCTTTTTGGCCCAGGGACTGGTTTCATGGAAGACAATTCTTCCATGGACTTGGGGATGGGGGAATGGTTTCAGGATGATTCAAGCATGTTACATTTATTGTGTAGTCAAACCTTTCTGTCAATGATAATCTATATTTGTAGCCACTCCCCAGCGCTAGCATCACCACCTCAGCTCCACCTCGGATCATCAGGCATTAGATTTTCCCAAGGAGCTTGCAACCTAGATCCCTTGCATGCGCAGTTTACAGTAGGGTTCGTACTCCTATGGGAATCTGATGACACTGCTAATCTGAGAGGAGGTGGAGCTTATGCAGTGAAGTGAGCAATGGGGAGTGGTTGTAAATACAGGTGAAGCTTCATTTGCTTGCCCGCTGCTCACCTCCTGCTGTGCAGACCAGTTCCTAACAGGCCATCAACCAGTACTGGTCCATGGCCTGGGGGTTGGAGATCGCAGATTTAAAGAATACAGGAGGATGTGCGTAGGTTATATGCAAACTATACCACGTTATATAAAGGATTTGAGCATCTGTGTATTTTGATATTCTTGGCAGTCCTAGAACCAATCTCCCACAGATACTGGGGGACAATTGTAATTTGACATATGGACAACTGTCTGGCAAAAATGGAAAAGCAGGGAATTCGTTGAGGTTTTTAGAGGGCTTAATATTTCTTGAAGGAAGAAGAATATTATATTATTGATTTTTCAGAATTCTGTACTATTTTCTTTACTGAATTCTCTATTCAGTTCCCAGTTATTACACTATTATGCAATAAATTGTAGATTTATTCATTGTATAATCACCAGCAGTATCTCATTAAGAAAACAGAACTGTGTATATACTATACTTGTAACTTTCTCCTTCATATTTATCCATGCCCATGACATATTAGAAGTTATTTTTGCTGTCATTGCATCTCAGAGAATAATATGTTTCCATTTTTAGTCAACTCCACATACATATGTTTAGCATTATTCATTATGAATTTTAAAAAGGCAATAAACACCTCTTTACTTGCTCCTAGTTTGTCCACTTCTCTCCACACCTCTGCCTACTCATCCTTAAAAAGCATAGTCAAGTCTTCACCTTATAAATAAAAAAACTGAGGTCCCGCCGATGATTTTTCCGCCATTACACATTAGTTCAATTCTCTTTCTCTCTCTTCTTTCTTTCTCTCTTTCCATACATCTATATTACAGATATATATATATAGAGAGAGAGACTAAAATTTTAAAACATGGCATTGAAAAGGTAAGTTTAAGAAATATGCATTTCATGAAAAATTCAATGGTGCCAAGTCAGCATTGCTGTCTGTTTATACCAGTATTCTAATAAAATAATGAAGAAAGAATGTGTTGACTCTTTACCGTGTCCTTAATGCATCTGTTAAAGTCTCTCTTAAAGTGAAAAATATGTGTTTTCAGTACAGTCTCCTCCTGTTTTTGTGCTATTAAAAGAAAAGAGAAAAAAAAATAACTACCCGAAACAAGTCTTATAACAAAAAAAGTTTGTCACATGCTCCCAGAAGCTATGTCTACCCCTGTGTCTGATGCCTCAGAATCAACCATTTAAAACTGTTTTTTAGCTGTTTCTTTTGCCATTTAGTTTAACGTTCTTAAAAAAATGCACGTGTGGCTATTTCTTGATTTATCATTTTAAGATACTTTCTTACTTCTTCATAGAGTATAGGAGGACCTAGCATGCTCATTCCCATCCATGTCCCCCACCCACACACACAGTCTCTACATTTCCTCCCCGTAACCCCACATAAAGTTATGGTGTTTTGTTTAGATTTGAACTGTTTAGATCATTATGACAATGTAAGAATTATTCACTGATGAGCCAATGGTATAGTAGTATGATTATATTAATATTTCCCTTTTGTATAATTTTTTGTTTCTCCTGGAGTTAAAAATTGCCTCACTTTTTTTTTATTTGTTCAGTGTTCCATGTACATATCCTCTAACTAGCACATGGAGGGTTAGGAAGAAATCTTAGGGAAGTAGGAAGTTAGGAATAAGGTAATGTATTGTGCGTTTGGGTAAAAGACCAAGAAAACTTGCCTAAGTTGACTAAACGAAAACCTGACAAGAAGTGGGAAATGTGAGGAATGGGAACCAGACCAGTTACCCAGGTATATATTTTGTAATACTCTTCTCTTCCTAAAAATCTACCTTCCACCGGCTCACACCTGTAATCCTAGTACTCTGGGAGGTTGGGGTGGGAGGATTGCTTGAAGTCAGGAGTTTGAAACCAAACTGAGCAAGAGTAAGACCCCATCTCTACAAAAAATAGAAAAATTAGCCAGACACAGTGGCGTGCACCTGTAGTCTCAGCTACTCAGGAGGCTGAGGCAGGAAGAGTGCTTGAGCTTAGCAGTTTGAGGTTGCAATAAGCTATGGTGATGCCACTGCACTCCTGCCCAGACAAGAGTGAGAACTTCTCTGAAGAAAACAAAAACAAAAAACCTACCTTACTTAGCAATACTCACTAGCCCCTTCTGGATATTTGTTTATTTTACATCTGAGCATATTGGGTTTGCATATGAATGTCCCATTTTGACACAGACCACAATTTAAATTTCACTCTCCATATCCATCTTTGCTAGCCAGTCATTCCCACTTCCAGCCTACTGGACGTTTTTTGCTTCTATTCCAGTTCTTTCTGTAACTTTTGGTCCTGACCTTCTGAGTCCCACGCCCCTTCTTTCATACAAATTCTGGAAGTTGTTCCTGCTTAAAGACCAGCACGGACTCCATGGACAACAATCTTCTATTTCCCAAAGGCAAGACAAGACTCAGATCTCTGGGATAATTCTGGATGTCTGAACTTTGGATCTTGAGTGCAGGGTTGGATGATCACATCCATTTTTTGTGGAGAAAATAATAATTTTTACATTAAACATACATGATTATGCTATGAAATGGAGCTCAGCATGTGCATACTTTCGGGCATATTTCACATCCTATACTAACCACCAGATCTGAACCCAGCTCAGATCTCTGAGCTTAGCAGGAGGTTAGTGAAAACAATCTGAGGAGCACCTACTTGATAAATGGTTAAAGTCATAGCTGGAAATGATATAAAATTTGCAAATCCATTTGTCTTTGTTTTGTTGGTATTTAAAAAAAGAAAAAAATTGTAAATTCGTGGTAAGAAAAAAATTCTCTACATGATAGCAGATGAGTTAGTTCTATCTTTATCAAATAGAGAGAAAGAACATAATATAGTGAACTACTAATTCTTAATTTTAAACAGCCTTTAAGAGGGAAAAGGAAATATTAGCAATAGCAACAGTAAGATTGTGGTGTGGAGGAGAAATGAGTAGGTGAGTCAAAAACTAGAGAATAGAGCATCAAGGTGATGGGAAAAGTTGGATGAATTTCACCATTGGCTTGTGTTGATGACTCGCCTGTGTTAGAAGACAACAGTGAAATCCTTACCTGAACCAAGGCTGATTACTAAATGCTTCACATGTACCTGTAATAATATTACTGAGCTCTTTCAACCTTCTCCTTTTTTCTCTGTACAGCTCTTCTGCCTCGCGAAGTTTTGAAAGATGTTCATTTAGTTCGTCTTCCTTTTGTTTGTTAATTTGTATTTCCTTAATATATATGTCCTTTAAAGAAAATAAAGCTAATTGAGAAGTATGATTTTGGAGAATTCATATGACAATTTAGAGTAGAATAGAAGTTCTTTGAGGGGGAGAGTTCTGTCTGCCTTTGTCTCCTTCTAACCTGAGGTGCATGGAAAGGTATCCGGCAAATATGAATTGTTTAATAAATATTTGTTGGCTGACTTACCAACTCTCTGGCAATCTACAAAGTAAGGAGATTAGATTCAATTGGCTCTCTAAAGATCCTTTCATTTCTACATCTCTATTGCTATGTTTCTATTAATGCTACTATATACACAGCCCAAAAAAACATATTTGAGAAAATTCCCTTTGGTCATATTTTACAAAAAAAAAAAAAAAAAAAAAAAAGGTGCGTGTGGGGGCATAAAAACAGGATACACAAGTTCTAAGAAAAGTGGATGAAATTGGGAGGGGGTACAAATAATTAGATATAATACTATAATAAATGGGTAAAAAGTGCCCTAAACAAAACATGAAGAAACCTGGTTACTTATTCAAACTCAGGTTTTGTTTAGTTTCAAATGGAATAATAGTTGGACCTCTTTTAGCAGATCAGCATAGATTTAATGTGGTGACTAAGGCAGAGACTGCCAGCTGACTTTTAATATCCATTCTCTCCTTCTTTAATATTAGAGCTCCTGAGTTTTAGCTGAGCATACGACTTCCCTTGCAGTGAGTTTATGAACAGAGGTCAGGTGTGCCCCTTTTGGGACTTGCCCCTGCAACGGGAATGGCTGTGTGCTCTCCTTTTCATCCTGCCCCTGGCTGGAAGAGAATGAGAATGGAAGCTACCACTTGACCTGCAAGATGTCAGCCTCATGCTGAGGATGGCAGAGCCACCCTACAAGCCTATCTTTGATAGAGCAGCTTGCTTGTACCTTAATTTATACATTGATATGCTGGCCTGATATGTCCCCTCCCAAATTGCTGAATCCTTATGAATCCTTAGAATCCTTATGGATAAATACAGAAGACAAAAATGTATATTAAAACCCCATAATTTAAAATATCATAATGCAGAAGCAAACTACATTTCTCTAGACTACAACATTGAGCAGATTAGGAAACTCAATCCTCTATTACCCACCCTATGTTCTCTAAAAAAGAATAGCCTGGAAACATTAGCAGGTGTGTGAGTGCATTAATTCATCCCCATTGCCTACACTGCCTTGATGACAAATCATGCTCTTGCTTTACTCTCTGAAAGAGAGTGTGGGGTACAGGTGCAGCGTAGCTCAGGCCAGTTGTTGCTTGTCTGCAAACTCAGGTTGTTGGAGCAGAGCAGCCAGTCAGGCCTGCACCTTCTTCAGATCCTTCCAGACCCTTCTTCAGCATCTCGTCTCTGATTCCTGAGCCTTACACATATTTAGGGTAGGGCTTCAGCTTCTGCTGCAGGTCTCCCACCTCCCTGAAGTTGGAGCCTGGGAAGGCAGAGAAAGACCGATTCAGTCCATGCTTGTTGCTGTTAGCTCATCCTGTGAGTTTCAGTTTGTTCTTGCTTTCATTCACTTCCTGTCCATCTTTCCTTTCTTCCTGCTATATAATAATGGTGCCCAGGCTGCCATCGGTCCATGCCTGTGTGTGAATTCAGTGTGGATGGACACAGCCCTGCAGCAGGTGACTGCCCTGCTGACTTTGGGCGCCAGCACCAGGTGTAATGCCGACAGCCTTACTCAACTGTGTAACCAGTGCACACAATTACGAAAGGTTGAATCCTACAACAAACAATCCTTTCCTGGTGGCTCTGCTTCTCTGATCGAATTCCGCCAGATACAGGGCTGTAGGGCCCAGTAGATCCATTGGTGCTCTGGGTGTCTGAGCTGGATCAGAATAATGTACAAAACCTGTGATGAGCTCTGATAGGAGAATTACAGTAGAGGGCCCTGGATATTGGGGCCAGGTTTGTGGAAAAATCAGCCACGGCACTGCCTGGGAGACAGTACTTCTCAACACAGGGAAGTTTATATTCTGAAACAGTGACTAATTAATAGAGCCATTTTCCATAGGGTTTATGGGTCACAGACCCAGGCGATAGTGGGACTTCTCATTATTAAACCTAATGACTTTGCCTTTCCTCCCTGTGACTTTGAGCTGTCAGTTCAGAGATCTCACTACTGGGGAGTAGAGTGGTTCCATAAACCAGAATCTGAGGTTGCTTCGTTTCCATTTGGGCTCCTCATGCCGCTGAACCAAAGGCAGAAAGGGGATTACAATGTGTCCAGGGCTACTAATGGTGAGTATCAAGGGGGAATGGGGGTTTTGCCATATTAATGATGGTGCCCAGGCTGCCATTGGTCTGTGCCTTTGTGTGAATTTGGTGTGGATGGACACAGCCCCACACTGAGCACTCAGCCTGGCAAGCAGAGTGCAGGCTGGAGGGCTGTCTGTAGTGGTTTTGCCATTGATTTTCTTGAGTTTTTGCAATATGCCAATAGTCTCCTCTGTGAAGTCTTATGCTTCTATTTTATTCATCTTGCTTAATTGCATTGTAGGCTTGTGTATGTTAAATTGGATCCTTATTCCTTATCTTATTCATGACTCTCAGAGGATCCTCCCCATTGTTTTACCATTAAGCAGGATGGCAAATGGGTCAGCATTATAGTCAAAAGAAGTCTGAGAAGCTGACCCCTTCTCATCGCCTCTTCAGTTACCATTCCAGTTCAAGCCCCCTCATTCCTCACTTGGGTTATTGCTATCACTTCCTTAATCAGTCTTTTTGCAGCCACTGTTTGCTTTACTAAATTCTACTCAACCTAGCAGCTAGAGTGATCCTATTTAAAAAAAAAATCAGAATATTTCAGCCATCTACTCAGAACCCTCCAGTGGCTTCCCAGCCCAGACAGAGCAAAGGACAAAGTACTTACGAAGGCGTAGAAGGATGTGACAGACATAGAGATACTCCACATGGATCTCTCCTTCAGGGAGGACTCAAATGTTCAGATGTCATTGTCAGGAGCATGTTTAGCTGACACTTCCAGTGGTTGGCTCCCTCAGGGTGGGCCTCAGCTATTCAGCCAGCATCATGCTCTTCCCAGGGCGGCCCCCACCCAGTGACTGAGCAAGGAGGTGGTGCAAGGGTGCAGCCATTTCTGCCCAAGGCAGGGCTCTTCTAACGGGCAAACCGTGCTCTGGAACTCCTGACAGAGTGTGTCCGGTTACATCATGGCCTGACAGCTTTTCCTGCCCAGTCCTTTCACAGATATTACTCACTCATACACTTTGCACTCCTAATTCCACCTCAGCATCCGCTTCCTGAAGATGACTCCCTACCACCTCTGGCCCTCCCATCTCTTATCCAGCAGTGCACCCCACTTGTCACTTCTCAGATAAGACAGTCCTCCCTCAGGACCTTCGGGCTTAGTGTGCCCTCTGCCTGGAGCCATCTCCTGCCGCACCCTCCCCCACACCCTTCAGGGCCGGACCCTTCTCTGACCCCCCCTATTAACAACGCACACGACTGTATCACAGACGCTCGTCCTGTCCCACTTCCCTGCTGATTTTTTTCTATGGCGTTTACTTCCCCCACTAGAATGTTAACTCCATAAGGGCAGACATTTTTGTCCGTTCAGCATCTAGAAGAATGCCAGGCACCTAGATATGCTACAATCAACGGAGAAATGCTTCCCGCCCCCCACCTTTCTCCCCTCTGTTTCTCCTAATAGTGACGGGCTTTGTGTAATTTCTCTCCTTTGTTTGTTCTCTAAGTTGTGTCAGTTTCCATTTCCCCTCTTCTTGTTTTCTGGCTGTCACCTTCTGATATCTCTTCCCTGAGTTCCTATATTTCCACGTGGATGATCTTCCTTTGCACCTCTATTAAATTATTTTTTTTTAAATTCCACAAAAGAATGTTTAATCACTGTTTTTATCCGTTCCACACCACCATTTTTCTCAGTGTTCTTCATTTGTTGGAAAGTTTTGTTCATCTTTTCACTTGTTTCTCTTTTGGTATTTTTGTATGAAAGACGTATCTGCTTCCATTTTGTTATTCATGTCAGAAAGAATTGGCTGTTTGGGGGTTTCCTCAGGATATGGCAGGATGGGGTGGGGTGAGGGAGTGGGCCTGGATCAGGCTAAGACTCTAAACTTTGAAATTTAAAGGTTCCCCACTTTCTTGCTACCGTAAGAGACTGTTTCCTTCAAATAAAGCCCCTCTTTGGTATAGCCAAGATCTTTTCTTCCTCTTCAAACCTCATGAATTTCAGAAAGGCATCTGCCACTGTACTACCACCCCTCTTCTCCTCAGCCTCTCTTACCAATGGCTGCCTCTGAGAGACATGCCCTTACCTTTCAAGGAAATATTATCACCTTGAGGTGTGTTTTTTGTTGTGTTTCTGCAGACCTGCCACCTCTGGGTACTTTCAGTGCCTTTTCTCTCCACCTCTCCCCCAGCATCCATGTGCTCTCCCATCCCAGGATGGTTTCTGGCAGTTCCCAAGTCAGTATGATACCCACTTTTTTTTTTTTTTTTGAGACAGAGTCTCACTTTGTTGCCCAGGCTAGAGTGAGTGCTGAAGCTTCATCCTAGCTCACAGCAACCTCAAACTCCTGGGCTCAAGCAACCCTGCTGCCTCAGCCTCCCAAGTAGCTGGGACCACAGGCATGTGCCACCATGCCCGGCTAATTTTTTCTATATATATTAGTTGGCCAATTAATCTCTTTCTATTTATAGTAGAGACGAGGTCTCGCTCTTGCTCAGGCTGGTTTCGAACTCCTGACCTTGAGCAATCCACCTGCCTCGGCCTCCCAGAGAGCTAGGATTACAGGAGTGAGCCACTGCGCCCGGCCTGATACCCACTTTTTAAGGAGGATTTCTGAGACTGACTTTCTTAATCTCCTTTGCTCCTTGCTACTCTCCCTGGCTAGTCCTGTGCCAGCTCCTAAGGCTTCCTGTGAAGCTCCACCTGTCTCCAAGCCTGTTGCTAGCAGTTCTACACAATTTATATATCTCACACACTTCATAAAAAATATATATATTTAAACTGAAAACACATTTCTCATTGATTTATTTCTTCTTCAGGAAAAGTAAAGAAAGATTCAGAATGAAATTGTAGCCCTGTTCATACTGGAAGATTTGTTTTACATTTAACTAATTAGAATAGCATGAAATATTATTCCCCCTCTCCCCATATGGTCACTCAAAATAAAACTTACCTCATATTTGCTTAAATCTTGTATTAGCTTTTTTTCTTTGGTAACAAATTGCTGCTCATCTTCCTTTAATTCTGTTGAAATTTTTTCAATATCTACCACAAATTCACTGATCTCCGCTTTTCTCACATTTGTCTAATTAGAGAAAAATGAGGATTTGTCATTTTTTCTTACAGTGATCAATCTTACATTTTCAAACAGCCAGGTAGATTAATATCTCTTTGCATGAGACTTGCTTCTGATTTCAGGCTATATGATTTCTCAGTAACCACTGAGAGGGATTATTTTCCCCTCCAGAAATTAAGATTGTCATGAAACAATATTTATAAATGATATGAGGAATAGAAGGGGTGTGACATGGTGGTTGGGCAGAGGGTAAATACAGGAGCTAAATAAATGATGCTTGGGCTCATATTTTTCAAGCTAGTTCCCCTTCCCCTAAACACTAACCTCCAGTAAGTTTCTGGTTACTTGCTTCAAAGGCATATTCTGGAGAGAACTGCTACTTTATTTGATAAATCTCCCTTGTTAATATACAGCAAATGAATACATTTCTTAAGAAAATTAAATAATTTACTCTAAATATAAAGTCAGCAGGAAGTAAAGTACCTTCTAATAAGATAAGATTTAATTAAATAATGAAGGAGAATTACTGATATGCAATGTAGGAAACTAATTCTAAGTTCCTTGGGTTTTTTTTTACCTCTTCAAGTAATTCAATTCGTCTAACTTCTGCTTTCTCAATTCCTGTTATAATATCTTCTATTTCAGAGTGTGTTGTGCTTGTCCAACGTGCATGAATTTTTCTCAAACAAGCTAGTCTCCACTGATAGAAAACACTAGAGATTAGAACAAAAGTATTACCATTAAATTCACATAGCAGTTTACCAAAAAGATAAAGAAATTCAAAGCAAAGTAAGTCTTACTGTGATTACACAAAATTGTTTGTGTTATTAGTGATGCAGACTATGCACGTTAACTGGAAAAAAAAAAAAAAAGACAAAACAGTAACTGTCTCCATGCCATCTCTGCAAGTTGCTTCAGAGTAAGAGGTTATGCCTGTATATCCAATAAATAGCACAGGGAACAAGCCACATTTGGCATCTTGCCAAAGGGTAAAGGGTAGAAATGGTGAAGGCTCAGGGACAGATGAAAAAAGAAGAGGCCCGTGCAAAAATAGTAATGAAATTACCTAAATTACCTAATATGCTAATAAGAGATTTCAAGCCTCTGGGTTCACAAATTTTCCTTATCACAACATAAAAAAGTGACATGTTTGGAGAATGGTAAAAATGTGCAATTGGAGTTTTATAAATAATAACATTAATGAAAATAATAACAACAACAATAAAATACAGCTTAGTATTAGCAAGTGCTTTTTAGGTACACTGATCTAAATACAGCATTTTACATGGCTCATTTCATTTATATTCAAAACTACTTTATAATGTAGGTACTACTATCATCCCCCACTTTATAGGGATGGGAGCAAAGAGAAATTATTAATAACTTAGGTTTGGTCACAGAGCTAGTAAGGGCAGAACAACCAAAGTAGCCCATCTGCAAAGGCTGCAGCCTTCACCACTCTCCTCTCTCACCACCCATGTCAGTCACCTGTCCTGCTGGTTCACACAGAAGCCTGGACGAGCAAAAGGCATTGCACAAATCTTGGCAATTTTCCTCTTTGGTGACTTCACTCAATTGAAATGAAAAACTTTGATTCTGTTCAATGTCAAAAAATCAAACTAACAAACACATCTAGGTCTGAGGGAACTCACACAGAATTTAATTTAGGAAAATCATTCCCTGGGATTCCAGTAACCAACAAGAACTCTGTATAGTTCATTAAGATAACATATATGACTGATAACAAATAAACTTTTTTTTTTTTTACCATCTCTGAATTTCCCTTTCCAGGTTTTTACCCAGGAATTTTATTTGTTTCCGAAGTATGTCCTTTGTTGCTCTAAAAACAAGAAAAAGATATTGAATTTTGTATTTGTGGGAGGATACACAAGAGACTCTTTATGTATAATTCTTATGCTCAATAAGGTTATGGTCTCATTAGAAGGCAAAGCAAACCTGTGAAATAACTGAAGATTTTAGTGGTGGACTGATAGACAATTGCAATTGTGTGGCAGTGCAAACTGATTTTGCAAGCATTGAGGTGGATATCCAAGGAAAGAGAAGAGATTGTGGGGAGGAAGGGTTACTGTAAGTTAGTGTTAAACAGAGGGAAGAAAGTGGATTGTCTGAAGAGAGGTGCAATCTTACCAAGAAAAGGATGAAATAATCTGCAAAGACAGAGAAAAGGTGCAGTGAGTCAGGATTCTGTTATGACATGAGGTAGTTTTGCTGTCTACAGAGGACATGAAGGGAAGAATAACACTATGACACAAGAGGAATTAAGGTCAACAAATTGTTGAGGAACTCTGAATTCTAGATTGAGTTCTCATTTAATACAATATATGATTCACAAACCAATACAGATTCTTGAACTAGGGAAAAGTAGTAATTGCGGATGGAAGATTTTCTTGTGGTAGGATGGAGAGAAATATGAAGGTTCTTATACAAGTCACAAATATCTTTATTTTTATTCTCCTTTTTTTCTCTGTTAAGTGTTTCATGCACAGAAATGAACTGAAAACCGCACAAGTAAAATGCTGGTTTATATGTTTTGAAAGATAAAAATATTCTTAAATCAAATGTATAATATGAAATGCTATTAAATAAATTTAAAGGGTAGAAATATTTATAAGTGAAACCTGGAGTATGAAACACTGTTAAACTAGAAACACAACTGTGCTCATGTTTTTTTCTCTATTTGAAATTATAGTATGGGCTTTCAATTTCCTACTAAAATAAATCTCGTATCCTCCCCTGGACCTCTTCACAATTCTTCACAATTTGCTACAACCTTATTGATTTTGTTTATTTACATATTTAATATAATCTACAAAGAACTTCAACCAGTTTAAAATAAAGCAATAAGAACACAAAAAGTCCTAAATGGAGAACAATACTAGGCCACAAATTTTGCTTTGAGCTTCCTGGTGACCAGAGCAATGATGATACAATAACTGATAAAATTTTCATTATTTTCATGAGGAAAATAAAACCTGATTCAATCCAATTCCATTTTCATACTCTTTTGTAAAGAGTAGTTCATAATTTTATGTCTGAAGATGACATAATGAAAAATAGATATCTAGATATATAATTTAATGACATGGGGACAACCAACCATGGGACCTACATTTTCTGTCACATTCCAGATTCCTATTGGCATGTGCTCAAATTTTCCTCACTCCTTATTGTAGTTCTATAAGCTGGTGCTTCACTGTCTTTATATTCAAATCAGTCTATGACTGATTTGTGTGTGGTGATATTATTCCTTCATTTGATGAGCGAACAGGAAAATCTGACTTGCTTTAAAGTCTAGTTCAAGTTTTAAATCTTTATACAACAAAGAAGGACTCCTTAATTTCACTTTCTTTTATTCCTCTCTGGCTGTATTCACATTCTATTTTTCACAGTCATGCCTGGTTCATTAATTGTTTCATCTGCCCAGCTAGACTATAAATTGTTTTACGCTCAGTGTTAGCAGGACTGTACAATGGCAGAATATTCACGTAGGACATTTTGATAATAATTATAAAAATGAAAAATATGCAGCTTGCTTTGATCTCATAATTCAACTTTTAGGACTTTATTACAAATAGTCACATAGGTAGACAGAGTCCTGTTAAAGGATGTTAACTTTAAAAATTGTTGGTAATATAGGAAACAAAAAAAAAAATCCAAATGTCCATCAATAGAGTGCTGGTTAAATAAAATATAGTATAATCTGTAAAAGGAACACTATGCAGTTGGAGAAAAGAATGAGGAAAGATGTTCTGTATATATAATTTTCCCCCTTTATTTTGAAATAGTTTCAAACTCAACAGATAAATGTAAAAAAACAATACATAGAATTCCCATATACCTTTCATCAACTTCTCCAAATGTTACAATTTTATATTATTTGTTTTATCCTTCTGCTGGGTATAATTTTAAGTGGAAAAAATCCAGTTATAGAAGAGTATAACTTTTTGATATACCCATACATATAATTATATATTAATATATTTGAAAGTGTGTATAGCAGGCTGTTAAAGCCATTATCTCTGGGGAGAGATGGAAAGATTAGGGTAACTTTTACTGTCTAAGTTATATATTTCTATACTTGAATTTTAAAATCAGGCACAGGCATTACTTTTTTAATAAGAAAAAGAAGGTAAAATTTAAAGTGATTTAGAATGACAGAAATGAACATCATAGAGGGTAGGTGTGGTGACACTGTTCAGTCACATTCTTGTCACTGGACCCCCAACTGGTTCATTCCTCTGGTCCAATAACTTCAGTAGAATTCAGAACCTGTCTATACCATCAATGAAAAATTCAATGAAAATGAATTTTCTAGACTGTGAAACAGAAAGAGCTAACTACAAACTTCCTTTCTGTAGCATATTAGAAATTGACATAGATTTATTATCATTTATTAAAAATTAAATGCAGAGAAAAGATTAAAAGTTTCAAAGGCAACAAATATACCGATAAAGATCATGGAGTGTGCCATATCCATCTTCCATGTTTTTGATGTCTACTTTTCTTTGTGATAGGAAGTTTTCTTTACCAGAAATAAATTGCTGTTGTTCTTGACTTCTACCATGAAAAAGCAGAATTATTGTTTGTTGAAGATGGACACAATCATTTTTAATTCATCAGCATAAGAAAATGTACAAACACAAATAAGAACTTATTTTATTTTATAAGGGCCAGGGTCTCACTCTGTTGTCCAGGTTGGAGTACAGTGGCATGATAATAGTTCACTGTAGCCTCAAACTCCTGGGCTCAAGTCATCCTTCCGCCTCAGCCTCCCGAGTATCTGGGACTACAGGCACCCCACCACACCAGGCTCAGTTTTTAATTATTTTTTGTAGCAAACTGGGTCTCACTGTGTTGCCCAAGCTGGTCTCAAACTCCTGGCCTCAAGTGATCCTCCTGCCTTGGCCTCCCAAAGTGCTGGGATTATAGACATGAGCTACTGCAAAAGTAGCTTGGAGAGTTCAGATCACTAACTATTTACCAAATAAATTAGTAAAAATAAAGTCTTTTTGCTAGTGGCAGCTAAATCTAAATTTATGTGTAAGATTTTCAGAAAATGGCTGAAAATTCCTAAGCCACTGAAAGAACATTCACTGCCATAGGAACCACAAAACAAGAACAGTTCTATAGCAGTACTGCATCTCTCTGAGTGGGTGTGTCTCTCGATGCATTTATCAATTCTGTCATGTTCTGTGAAAGGTGGAGGCGGTCAGATCAACTTTGCTTACCGTCTATACTTCTTACAAGCAGTGTGATCTTGGGTAAGAAACTTCACCTGTGGATAAGCCTCACTTTCACCACCCATAAAATGGACATTACCATACCCCTGCTCACCAAATGGAAGGATTAAACAAGATGTAAAGTGCTTGACCCAGTGCGTGGACTGAAGAGGCATTTTTTTTTAAAGTAGTTATTTTTTGTCTCAATTTGCAGGAGAGAATAAGGAGCCTTAAAGACATTTATAGTTTTGTTCAGATACCCAGACATTGATAGGAACCTGTCTGTAAGAGAAAGTATTTTACCTAAGTGACATTTCTTTAAAATGGCTATGGACTGAACTGTGACTCCCCGTCTCCTCCAGAATTTGTATGTTGAAACCCTAAGCCTCAACAAGATGAAGAAATGAAGAGCTTAGGGTAACTTTTACTCTCTAAGTTATACATTTCTATATTTGAATTTTTAAGTCAGGTACAAGCATTGTTTTTTTTTTTTTTAATCGCAAAAAATTAAAATAAAAATTAAAGTGATTCAGAATGGCAGATATGAAGATCATGGGGGGGTGAGTGTTGTGATAATGTTCAAGCACATTATAAAATTGGAGCCTTTGGGAGGTTTGGATGAAGTCATGAGGGTGAGCCCCTCGTGATGGGATTAGTGCCCTTAGGAGAAAAGACACCAGCGAGCCTGCCTGCTCTCTCTCCAGGATGTGAGGACAAGAGAGAAAGTGGCCATCTGCAAGCCAGGAAGAGGGCCTGACCATGCTGGCACCGTGATCTCGGACTTCCACCCTCCAGAACTGTGAGGAAATACATTTCTGTGGGGTAAGCCAGCCACTCTATGGTATTTGGCTATGGCAGCCTGAGCTGACTAAGACAAAACCAACAAGGATAATGAACTTTTTAGTGTTATGGTTATTTCTCATCAGCACATTTTATGATTCAAACTGATAACTTAGTATTGATCTGAGGAAGTTTTTGCTTGAAGAATATGAACAGTATCATTCTCAGTAGTATGTTCAATTGTGTGAGAGAAAATGATTGCTGTAGGTCTCTGCAGCTTACATGTTATAACAATGAACACAAACTCAGGTTCCTATAAGTTGGCCTGTCCACTGTAATAATGCTTCCATGTGATTTAATTTTGAGTGTAGAAATGGGTTATTATTTACATAATTTCATGCGTGCAATATTATTCTACAATATTTATTAAGAAAACATTGGAATGCCCACTACCTGCCAAGCAATGCATGAGGTCCTGAGGACATAGTGCTTAGTGTGACAGAGTGACCACCCTGATCCCTTTGCAGTCCATTGGGGCAAAAGGATTTGTGCACAGTTGATTAAAAACCAGTGAGTGATGAACAGGAATGAAGTCAGAAAGGTGGTTGTTTCAGCAGGATCATTCTGGTGGAAGGGAGGTAGACAAGTTGGAGTGATAAAGAGAAGATGGGAAGAACTTTGAGAGGCAAGCCAAACCAAAGAGGCTGAAAGTGGCGAAAAGAATGGAGTTGGAGAGGAGGATGGGACATAGTTGAGAAATATTTGGGAGGTGGAATTAGCAAGCGTTGGTGACTGGATGGAGTCCAACAGATAGTAAAAAGATAGGAGATTTCCTTGAATAACTTTCCAGTCTCTGGGTTAGGGAATAGTGTCAATAACCAGACCCTTCTCTGAGAAAGGGAATACAGGCATGGAGTCAGTTTCTCATGAAGGCAACTCTTATAGTTTCTCTGGATAGTCTCATAGGGGAAAAGCATAATTATTTTTTCAAGAATCTAATTTAGAAGTAAAAATACTGCATTTAGTTTTTATGGATTTGATCTGATCCTGGTAAGGAAAGCATTACTTAGTATTGCAGAGGCAGATGAGGGGTGTGTTTATTTATTATTGAGTAAAGAATATTTCATTGTTTTTAGTAGATTTTAAAACTAAAATAAGGTTAAGTGGAGAGTCACTACTTTGATAGCAAGAAAAGCACACCATAACTATGGCATGTTGGTTCACATATGGGTTATGGGTAGAAACATACTCATTTTGGGCCTTCCGTTTCTGAATATAGACTTTATCCTCCTCAATTAAGACAATCTTATATTGCCTGATAAGAGTATGCATTTTCTGTTGTAGTTCTTTGTTTTCTACTCGAGTTTTGTGTATTTTTTCAGCCATCTAGAGAAAAACAAAAGAATTTAATGAGAGGACTTGCTTCACGGTTCCTTTGAGGGCAGTCAGTCAGCATCAGATGGGCAACTCTCTGCAGCGGTCCCCAACCTTTTTGGCACACTGACTGGTTTCATGGAAGATAATTTTCCCACATATGGGGCAGGGGTGGGGAGGTGGGTGGCAAGCTCAGGTGGTGATGCCAGTTATGAGGAGCTCATCTAGGTATGGAGGCCAGATAAATCTCTCAACACTGTAGTCGAAGACACAAGGAGCTTCACCCTATGGATAAGGGTAAATTGAAAGCTAATAAGTGATGGTCCAGCCTAACTTTGATCACCAGAGAACCTTAAGGTGGATTAAGGTGGTTTGGGACTGGGAACATGCCACACATCTGACAGAAGTGAATACAAATCTGCTCCTGGGGAAGTTACCATCATCTCAAGTTGTTTTTGCAAACATTCTTTCAAGTACAATGTCCAGCTTACAGTTTTCTATCAGGAATAGAAGGATATAAGACAGCATGAACAAAAACTGGCAGAAACATCAGACTAAAGAAATGGACTACAGAGTCACAAACACATTAGATATTGAAATTTTCAGACAGTGAACTATAAAACTTCTGTGATTATTATGATCAAAGAAATATTACACATACTTGAAAATTATGACAGGGAATTAGAAACAGTAATGAATGACATAGCTGATTTGAAAAGGTACCAAATTGAAAGGTATCAATTAAAAAATATAATAACCAAAAATTGAGAGCTCAAATAAGATCATTCTGTCTAGAGTTAAGCATGGGAAGATAAAAAGTAGAAAATACATATATGTACAATATATTTATATAATATGATTATATTGTAATATATATTATATATAGTAGTATAAATAACTACATACATATAATTGAAGTCTCAGAAAGACAGGAGAGAGAATAGGACTATGAACAGATAATGGCTGAAATATTTAGATAACTTATGAAATATAGCAATTTGCAGATTTAAAAAAGCCAAATAAATCCCAAGGAGGATAAATAAAAAGAAAAATTTGGATACATCATAGTGAACCTGAACAACTAAGGCAAAGAGAACAAAGAAGACCTAAAATAAGTAAGACATATGCCATCTTTAGGGACTAGAAGCCTCAATACTATATAAATGTGAAATCCTCTTCAAATGGATTTATAAATTTAATATAATACCAGTCAAAATCCAAACAGGTTTGTTGACAGAACTTGATAAACTGATAATAATTCAAAGGGCCAATAACAGCTGAAGCAGTCTTGAAGAACAAACTTGAAGGATTTATACCATTGGCTATAAAGATTTATTTTAAAGTCACTAATTATGACAATATTGTTTTAGTGCAAGGAGAGATAAATAGTACAAATGAACAGAACAGAGAGTCCACAATCCACACATATATTTAGGACATATTTATGATCCATACAATGTACGACAATAGTGTGACTGTAATATAGAAAAGGATTGTCTTTTCACTAAATGGTGCAGGCTAGTTGGACAACCTTATGGCAAAATATGAATCTTGACCACTATCTCACAACACACACACACACACACACACACACACACAAATTTGATATGGCTCATAGCCCTAAATGTGAAAGGTCAAACAATAAAGCTTCTAGAAAATAAAGGAAGCGAATATCCTTATGACATAGAACACAAAAAGCATTAACCAGAAAGGAAAAGAAAGATTCATAAACCATAAACCAGACTTCGTTAAAATTAAAAAATTGCATTCATCAAATAGATAGGTTTGTACATAAAGACCATACATTTATAGTTTATGCATTGTTATATATAATAATACGTATTCATAAATAAAAAGTTAGATCCAGCAATCCCACTAATGGTATATATTCAAAGGAAATGAAGTCAGTCTGGCAAGAGATATCTGCACTGCCATGTTCATTGTCACACTGTTCACAATAGCTAAAATATGGAATCAACCTAAGTGTCCATCAACAAATGAATGATAAAGAAATGTGGCATACATATACAGTGGAATATTATTCAGCTTAAAAAAGAAATCTTAGGAAACCATCAGTAGAGCAAATAGACAACCCACAGAGTGGAGAAAATATTTTCTCTCATACCTCTGAAAAGGTCTAATAACAAGAATCTATCTAGAACTTAAAGAAAAAACAAGAAGCAAACAATCCCATCAGAAATGGGCAACAGAATGAAAAGAAACTTCTCCAAAGAAGACAGAATAATGGCATGCAAACTATAAAAAATGCTCAACATCTCTAATCATCAGAGAAATGAAATCAAAACCACAATGAATATCCACCTAACCCCAGTAAAATGGCCTATATCAAGAAATCCCAAAACAACAAATGCTGGGAGGATGCGGAGAGACAGGACACTCCTACACTGCTGGTGGGACTGCAAATTAGTGCAACCTTTGTGGAAAAGAATTTGGAGATACCTCAAACAGCTAGAAATAGAAATACCATTTGACCCAGCAATAGCATTGTGGCATCTACCCAAAAGAGCATAAACATTCTATTAAAAGACATCTGCACCGAATGTTTATAGCAGCACAATTCACTATTGCATGGTCATGGAAGCAACCCAAGAGCCCATCAATTCATGAGTGGATAATTAAAATGTGGTACAGGCTCACAATGGAATATTACTTCATCCTAAGAAATGACGGTGAGCTAGCACCGTTTATGCTATCCTGGATTAAGCTTAAGCCCGTTATCCAAAGTGAGGTGACACAAGACATGGAAAATAGGCCCTACATCTACTCCGCCATCAAATTGGTACTGACTGATTAAAACTATGGTTTTCAAATGGTGGCAATGCTCACCAGGGATTCGGGAGTCGGGGGGACCCAATCTTAGGGAGGTGGCAAGTATTTAGGAAGGGAAGGGCATAACTCTAACCCTTCTTAGGAAGAGGCAAAGATATACAATGTAACCAAAATGTCAAAAAAAAATCAAAACAAAACTTTTTATCGGGTGGTGGGCAGGTGGTAGGGGGGAGGAGGAAAGGGGTGTATGCCTCCATAACGTGCATGATGCACACACCACCGGGGGATTGGACAGATGGGGGGGGAGTGAGGGGGGAAGGGGCAATATTTGTAACCCTAACAATATTTGTACCTCCATAATATGATAAAATAAATAAAATAAATAAATAAAAATAAAATAAAAACGAAATCTTGTTATTTGTGACAACATGGATGAATCTGGAGGACATTATGTTAAGAGAAATAATTCAGGCACAGAAAGACAAATATTGCATGATCTCACTTATATGTGGAATCTAAAAAAGTTGAACTCAGAGAAGTAGAGGGTAAAATGGTTACCGGGGCTGGCAGTGGTGGGGAGATGGAAGATTGAAGAGATGTTGGAAGAAAAAAGTTAAAGTATAGTTAGAATAGAGTTTAATATCGTCTTTGAACTTTCCTCCAATAACTCATGAGAATTATGATTGGATGTCACTAAGAGACAATAGTTTCTACCCTAGTGAAAATAATAAATGGGTCAGAGCCCCTGCTTCCTTTGAAGTGATCACTCACTTGTACCCATGAAATTTGGATGAGGGCTGTGGATTACAGGGAAATCCCTCTATACATGCCCCTTTGACCAAGTGAGCCATGAAAGTTTAGGGGGCCTAGACTGTTCAGAAAAATCATATAGCCTAGAAAATGTGGAGCTATTATCTGAAGGTTGTCTAACAGCTCCTACAATAGGGAATAAATAGAAAGAAAAACCATTTTTGCTTAAAAAATGAAAGGCATATTTAAAACCAACCAACCAACCAACCAGCCAGCTTTGTCTGGTTTTTGTCTTTTGGTATTATTGCAACTGAAAGAATCAGAGTAGGCCTGACCCAGAGGGGAAGATATCCCTAATGCTGATAGCTCACAGAACCAAAAATGGAAAAGAATTTATTCGGTACAAATCATTCTTCTGGAAGGGCACTGCCTTTTATGTCCTTGCTGTGCCTCAGGTAATGGGTGCAGTCTCAGATGGAAGAGGGAACAGTTATGTGTTATGCTTTGTAACAGAGGGAGAAGAATTTGGACATGGAGTGGTCATGTATCCTAGAGCAAGAGGATGGATGAAGAACTACAAGAGAAAGAGAAGGTGGTGAACAAGATGGCTTTGTGTTCTGCAATGGTATCTTCTTCATGACCATTAAATTTTCAACAAAGTTTGCAACATATCATGAAATGCTTAGTGTTACTAAATATGTTTTAGAAATTAGTGAAAGGGATGAATTCCACATCCTGGTTGACTTGGCACAAAACAGAGATAGAAAGTGTAGACAGAGGATACCTGACACTACTAGTCCTCAACTATTGAAATTAAGTATGTGTATATGGGGGTGAGAGAGAGAAACCAAGGACATTTCTCTCTCAATACAAGGGGCAAGAAAAATGTCAGTTATGTCTGGAATGCATGTGTATTTGTATATATGCATAAATAAGTGGGGTCATATTACATATACTATTTTATAATATAGTATTTGTCACTCAATAACATTGTAAACAATACTACTACCTATTTAACCAAGGCCCTTTTGTTGGATTTCAGTTGTATAGTATTTCTTGTCTCCCATCCTCCTTCAATTTTTTACTATCTTAATGAATGCTTCACTCTTATGGCTAAATCTTATGACATGATATTTCTTTTATCCTAAGTTTAAAAAAGTGTCTAGAGAATCTTCCTGGGAGCTAAATCAGACTTAAATGTTTCTAAATAATTATTTTGAATATTATAACATAATATTTAGAGTGGTATTAAGTGCAGAATAGGTACCTATACTTCATAGGTACCACAGAACAGCAGGAAGGTCATAATTTCTCTAATATTTCACATGAAAAATGTCCAGTAATCATGGATATTTATAATATACTCATACCCACATGAAAAGTTATACAAAAAACAATTCATCTTCACATGAACAAACTTTGCCCTTTCATATATTTAAAGTATTTTGGAAGGAGGTAAAATCTTTAAGTTAATTATTGCAAATGATCATGATTATTCTTAGTCAATTAAAAATCTACTTTTGAAAAATTCTACATTTCTCACACATTTTAAATATTAACTACAAATAAAATCTAATTATTATGAATATCTACAAGTCATGATTTCTGTCTTCTTACCTGCTTTATCTTGTGCAGGAATTCATTTTTTTCTTTATTAGATATATCTTCTAGTTTTTCCTTATTGGTTACAAAAAATAACCTGTGAACAAAGGAAACCAAATAGATTCATATTAGATCATATTTTCCAGCAAAGTAATATTTACTTATGACATCAAAAACTCCATCTCCACACTAAATATATTTACTTATATATATTTATTAAAGAAACAATTTTACTCTTTTGAATTGATGAATTAATACTTTATTTATTTATTTATTTTTCCACTTAAGAAGGGTTATGCAACGCCTAAAACAGCCTAACAGATTTGTTTTAGGTACTAGGGATACAGTGCAGGCAAAGTCCCGACCCTCATGGAAATTGCGTTCTAGTGAAGTAGTCAGAATATAAGCAAGGTATCAAAAAATAAGTAATATATTTCTGATAGTGTTAAGTGCTCCAAAGAACACAAAGGAGGGTAAAGTATAGAGAGATCCTTAAAGCAAGAATGATGTTTTAGACATGTGGTCAGGGAAGACCTCTTTGGGATGACCTGTGAAAGACCTGACTGATGAGAAGGAGCCAGCCACATGAACATCTGAAGGAAGAACTTTTCATGCAGAAGAAACAGCAGGTGATAAGACTCAGAGGCAGGAAAAAGCTTGGTATACTTGAGGAAGAAGGATGATGAGGCTGGAGGGATAGACTGGGACTAGACTGCATCCTATAGGTTCTTGAGGGCAAGATAGGAGTTCAGATTTTATTCTTAAGGCAACTAAGGAAGGATTTTGAAGTAGAGGAGCAACAGGAACTGATTGACATCTTATAAAGATGACTCTGGTTATTATGTGGAGAAATATAGCAGTGGAGGGAGACAGACCATGTAGAAGGCTACAGTGGAGGTCCGGAAGAGATAATGGCAGCTCATTTTGCAGTGGTGGAGGTGGTAAGAAATAAATATATTCAGGATACAATTTTAAAATGAGGGTGACAGGATATGCCTTTGGATTAGCTTGGAATTAGAGTTAGCTTTGGGTAGTGAGGAAAACAGGAATAGGGGATGACTGCTATGCTTTGGCTTGAGTAACTAGGTAAATGGTGGTACCTCATGAACTGATATGGAAGAATGTGGGAAGAGCTGTTTCACGGAGGTGGGAAATGAAGAGTTATGTTTAGGACATGTTGTGTTTGAGATATCTAATAGATACCCTCCAAGTGGAGAGGTCAAGTGACCTCTAGAGTATGTGCATTTAGAGCTCTGGGAAAGGTCAGGGCTGGACATATAAATTTGGGAGTCATTGAAGTACGAAAAGTATTTAAAGCTATGAGACTGAAAAAAATCACGTAGGGATGGTGTGAGCAGAGAATAGTGAAGGGCTGAGAACTCCAAAATTTACAGTTAGAAAAATGAATTGAAACAAGTAAAGGATCCTGAAAAGGAGCAACCAGTGTGGTGAGTGAAATAAGAGAATATGATGTTTGAGAAGCCAAGCAAAGAAAGTATTTCAAGAAATTGTAATAGATAAGCTGTGACAAATTCTATCAAGAATTCAAAAGCTTCAAGAAATAGATTTGATCACTAAAGTTTAACAGGACAGAAGTCATTGGTAACCTTGACAATTTTGTAACCATTTCTGCCCCCAAAATCATCTATAATCTTCCAGGTGTGGGGAAACTGTGGCCTTCTGATTTCAGCATTCTTCTTTTCATAAGCACCAAAGGAGGCAAGAAAATCTTCACCCCTTTCTGTTGCATCCCCTTTAATAGAAGGATTTGTTCTTCAAAATTTGGATTCAGCCAAAGGCCACCCTTAAGGACCTAGATAGCCACATTTTGCCTGAAGGCCACAGGTTCCCCCCCTCTGCCTGGGTCACAAATTAGATGTCATTTATTTATACAACATTTAACGTCCAATTCCACATTTCTCATGTGCTAAAAACCAGTTAAATGATAGAGAAAGATCACAGGAATTTAGAAAGGTAGGCACTGGATTTGCCTTTAGCTGTATAAAGGTACCATACTGGATATCAATAATAATAAAGAACAAGGATCAAACTATTGGTGCCTCCTGTGGATTAATTAAGGATTATAGATTAATAGGAAGATGTGTTGTATAAATTATTTTAGTTTCTTATCTAATATTTGCTATTGGGAATAGTGCTGCAGTAAACATGTGAATTGCAGGTGTCCTTTCAATATATTGATTTCTTTTCCTTTGGGTGGATACCCAGTAGTGGGATTTCTAGATCAAATGGTAATTCTATTTTTAGTTTTTTGAGAAATCTCCATACTGTTTTCCATAGTGGATGTACTAGTTTACATTCCCACCAACAGTGTATAAGCATTCCCTTTTCTCTGCATCCTTGTCAACATCGTTATTTTTTTTTATCTTTTTAATAGTAGCCATTCCAACTGGTGTATGGTGTTATTTCACTGTGATTTTGATTTGCATTTCCCTGATGATTAGTGATGTTAAATATATAACTGTTTTCATATACCTGTTGGCCGCTTGTAAGTCTTCTTTTGAGAAATGTCTATTCAAGTCCTTTGTCCACTTTTTAATGGAATTATTACTATTACTTTTATTTTATTTTGCTCTTGAGTTGTTTGAGTTCCTTGTATATTTTGGATATCAGTCCTTTGTTGGATGAGTAGTTTGCAAATATTTTGTCCCATTAAACAGGTGTTTACTCTGTTGATTATTCCTTTTGTGTGCATTTTTTGGAGTTTTAATTGTGATATTAATTGAACTTTCCTATTTTTTAATCTAATATTGAGTGTAAAACTTATTGCCTATTTTATGAACTAATGGTGGTAGATTAGCATTGTCCTCTGAAAATGTTGTTTTAGAGGACATAATTTTAATCACAATACTTTCAATCTTACGTAGAAATGAACCATGCAACATTACTTGTCTCTTGAGAATCTGCTCAGCCCACAATCTATCTCTTAAACTATTAGTGAACCATCAGAGTGAGCCCCTGAAGCCATATTACAAGATTCCATTTTTTGTTCAGAGATGATTGTACTAGAAACAAGGCTGAACCAAACACATTCTGATATGAAATCTGGGAATTCTTCTGGCAGAGAGTGTGTTGGTCAATTTATAATGATGGTTGTACCTATGGCAGGCCAATTCAGAGGGTTTGGCATAGCCATACTTTGCCATGCGCTCACCAAGAAGAAAATACCATATGCAGATAACGAGAGAAGAATGAAACACTTTCACAAAAGGAAGTGGAGACTGAGCCTTTAGATGGATGGAAAAATTCCTTCAGTTTATAGTTCAAGTCCCATGTGTAGCAATTTTTGCCTTAAGGCTTCCCTGTGTTTTCTCAGTAAACTCAGTCCTCCTTGAGTAAGAACAACTTTAACAGCATGGCTAGGAGGGTTGTAGTCTTATGATATGATTCACCAATGCCTTTCTCCACAGGCATTTTTGTTTGTAGGGAGACAGGAACTGAAATGTGAATAACATGTACATTCTAAAGAGTCCCTCTCCTTCCCCAAGCTATCATCCTCAGTTTTTTCTCTTGATCATCTGAAAGACTGGCTAATTTCAAAATGAAGAGGTGGTTCTATAAAGCCATCACATGACTTTTAGAAAACTAAGAGAATATAGTTTCCATCTAATATTAAAGACATTTTAAAAAATGAAAGTAACATATTAACATCTAGAAATATTTCAGCAAAAATAAAGTATTACACTTACATTTTATCCTCCAGGATCTTACAGGCGTTCCTTAGCTGTGAAACCTGATATTCCCAAATCCTTATTGCTTCGTATAGTCGTGCTATCTCTAAATTGTGATCACTAAGAATCTATTAAAAATTCAATAAAAATATCCCATACCATCATCACAAAATGATCAATAACAGCAGTTCAATTCCACTAAATATTCATGAGGCCACCTTGAAAATCACATACTATTATTGTTTTTAGTCAACATCACATCAGCTTGACCAGGCCACAGAAACTTCTAAACTAAAGGTACCAAATGAAAGTTAATCTGGTCTTAGTCTATAGCCAAAATGTTGTTTTCTAATCTCAGTCAATAGCAACAACAACAACTACCAAATACAAAGCACTGAGCTATAAGCCTTAGAGGCATGATCCCATTTAATCTCCACAAAAACCCTTTGCAGTAGGCAATATTATTATACCACTATTTTAGAGGGGAGGAAACTTCAGGTTGGTAGAGCCAAGATCTGACCCCAGGTTTGTGTGGCACTCAAATTTGTGCTTCATACACTATTCTCTATGGATTGGGAGTGGGGTGGGCAGTTTGGCTTTGGGGAAGGACCAGGAGGTGGGTTATCCCTGCCACCTTTGAGCCTGTCTAATTTGGCCTTGGAGATCTTTGGAGTACAGGCTAAGGAACGTACACTTTACTTTTCCAAGCTAGGTTGGTGGAGTGCTTGATTTATGATTTATGGAGCCAAAACTGGAAATATGAGCTTGGACATGCAGATAAAATATGTTTTACATAACCTCTAATTCTCCTCTAAGCTTAGTCTGATCTAAGCTTCCTTACTATGATGAAATCCAAAAACAGATAGTGATCTTTTTAAATTCACATATTTTGGAGAAATATTTGATTTTACTAATGTTTTATAATTGGATGTCATAAGAGAAACATTGTAATTAAAATGAGCAGAACCACCCCATATAAAGTATTCAATATTAGTATCTCACCAGTATAGTTTTGCATGTGATTTTCAATACACATAAAAGAAATATAATAGAGACTCATTAACTAACTGTGATAAAAAATTAATAGGCATTTCTCTTTGATTAACATAGAAGTAGTATTAACATTAACCACTTCAATTATAGTTACCTCCATAAGCTTCATTTTTCTCAACTTTAAAATAAGGATATTTCTCACAAAATACTTATCAAAGTGTTAGCTTTCAATAAATGTTATTAAATTTTTTTTATAGAAGTACAGAGCTTTGACATATTTTCTAATTCAGATAGACAATGGTGTCTTTTCCATGTTAATGTTACTGTAGCCAATATTAATAGAGAGGCTAAACTCTATTATTCCACATTCAGAATTAAGGGATCAGCCTATGGTGATATTTATTTTGTTATGTACAATAAAGCAGTCTCATGGAGATGTTATATTTATCAATATATTTGGTTAGTTCTACATGTGTTATTTTGATAAACTTTTTCACAGTATTTTGGCCCATCAAATGTAATTTGTACTTAAGGCATTCCAAACTTCCTTCTTCCCACCATATTCCCATATTCCTGAAGAAGAAGAAAATACAACTGTACCATAACACTTTAAAGAAGTATCAGAAAATGTTAACATGAAAAAATATTCCCCCAGAATGCCATGAAGATGAATTGAAATCAACTCCTTTTTTTCATTGAGGTGTCCAGATTAGGCATAGTTTATTATTCTTACCACTGTTCTGGTAGTAATCGCTTCTTTCATTTTTGATACTTTAGCTACTGTTTTATCCAATGCTTTCTTTATTTGTAAAGTCTCCTTTCTTCTAAGTTCAAGATCTCTTTTAACTTCTTCAATCTATAGTGACAAACATAGTAATCATTCTAATGACAATCTATAGTGATAAACTGATAAAAACCTCTATTAGGACAATAAAGTCTAGGAAATCTTTGTTTTAATTTGTCAACCTAATTCATATTTAATCTATGTATAACATATTCAATCTAAGTAAACCAACAAACAAAAAAGCTGCTAAAACCAGAGTCTGCTTATTTTCAGTATTACAGGAAAAAAATGGTGAACAAGGGCTAAACTGTAATTATGAAATATCTGAATAGTAAATTTTTAAGAGCAATAACAATGATCATTAATAACAAATTATATAAAAAATTTCCATTGTGGTGATCTACTTAACAAAGCACATAGCCATAGTTACCAGTTTACAGCTCAATAAGCAAGGAGAGTCAAGGAAAAAATTCAGAATTGTCTGGGAACCTAAATTCATATTACTTAATAGAAATAAAACCAACTACAGACAGAATAAACAAAATCATTGAGGATGGAGCAGCTTATAATCCTGGACAACTTCTTACCATTTTGTCAAAATATCACTTGTCAGACCTTTGTTTAAGGTGAAATAAAAATGTAGAGATGCATACCTAATTTATTTTGGAAGAAAACACTGCAATGTGGGGCATACACACAGAATGGGTAGTCTTCAGTATGTCTGAAGAACAGAGAGAAGGGTAGGAGTTTTATAAAAAACTGGTTATGTACTGGTCTTTGAGAAAGTTCAGGGGCAATAGTAATAAGGTTCAGGGGAACTGGCAAGTTCTGCCTGGTAGATGATGGTGGTGGACAAAATTAGTCCTAGAGTTGCAGCAAGTTATCTCAATAGCTATAGCTAAAACTGGTCTCAGGTCACGACCGGCAGTTTCAGTGGCCAGGTTTGCAGAGAATTACATTTTGGAGCAATGTTTTATGTTCCCCAAGTGTTTTTTTCCCCCGTTTTGATCCTTGCTGTCCTGAGATTTCCATTTCATTGTGATAGCCATATATCCAAGTAAAGTCTAGATCAGTGAGAAGAATCCCATCCTATTTTTGAGACATAGATTTCAATTGAAGCCCAGGCTAACAGCTGGCTTCAACCCCAGAAAAGGTCCAGGGAGCTTAGTTTTTACAAATTTTGTTCAGCAGCTACAGACTGTCCAAGAGACTCTGCTATGGTCTGAATGTGTCCCCCAAAATTCATATGTTAAAACGTAATCACCAATGCGATAGCGTTAAGAGGTGAGACCTATAGGAGGCGATTAATTAGGAGGGCAGAACCCTCCTGAATGGGATTAGCGACCTTATAAATGGGCTGGAGGAAATTAGCGAGGCCCCTTTTATGCCATCTACTGCATGTCTCCTCCAGAGCATGTGTCCTTCGAGGTGTCATCTTAGAAGTAGAAACCAGCCCCTCACTAGACACTGAGCCCACTGGCACCTTGATCTGGGCCTTCCTAGCCTCCAGAACTGTGAGAAACACATTTCTGTTATGTATAAATTATCCAGTTTCAGGTGTTTTGTTATAGCAGCCAAAATGGACTAAGATAGACTCCTTGCCAGCTACTTCACAAAATGCCTATTACAAGGACGGTTAGGGCTGGGTTCTGCGTACTCAGGGAGAACAGCATGTGGTTTTAGTGTAAAACCATTTCTGAAGAGGTGGGCACTTCTCAGGATAAAGGAACTCAGACTCAATTGGAATTTCCAAATAGCCCAAGTCTTATCATGGAATCAATTGTCATAAGAATTAAATGGCCATTGACAGAGTTTACTCCTTTAAATTTTAATTGAGACTTGAAAAAGCAATTTAATAAATATTCTTTTCCTCCATTCCCTTTCTCTCACTCTCTGTTTTCTTTTCTATTTAATATAGCAGCGTTGTGCGCCCAAGTCCAATTTCCTGCATTTGTAACCTGAGGTGACGCCGACTCCCACCACGGAGAGGACAGCACCAGGAGGCCGACAGCAGCTCCCACCCTGAGCGAGGCTTCACGGCCACAAGGGAGAACAAAGCCTGTTGCTGGGACACCAAACATGCAGGCAGCCCATGCAGAACAAGGAACAAATGATCATAGGCCATCTGACATGAATCTTAATTAACATGGCATAGCATAGTCCAGTCCCAACAGGGGCAGGAAAAATATGCAGTAGTCATCCACTCCACAGCTAAAGAATTTGCTGGTCTCCAAACATTCTCTTTAGGGCCCTTGGCTCTGCCCAGCCCCTCTGTGCTTTCGGATCCATGGGGCAGGAGCAGCAGCTGGGCAGGGGCCCTGTCTGAACTTCCTGGTCCTGTCCATACAGATATAGCTTTAGGGCTGTCAACGGCAGCCAGATAAGATGGTGGCCCACTCCTTTTCCCTATATGGCTGCATATAAACAAGGGGCCACCCCAGTGTTACAAATCCTGCCACACATTCTTTCCCATGGACTGAGGTGCTGCTACACAATCAAATGTCTTCCTCAAGAGGCTCCAAGTGTCCTGAGTCTCCTGCTATGTTCCCAGCCCAATGTCAACAGAAGACACCACAGAGAGCACTTGTCAGCCTTGAGGACAAATAAATTAGTTCCCATTTCCTGCCCTAGATTCTATACAATTCTGTATTTTAAAGAATAAATCACGCCACTTATCTCTGCAATCAAATGTTGTTTTCTCAGCAGATATTCTGCTCTTTCTTTTTCCATTAGCTCTTCTGTCTCTTGAATATATGATCTTTGCAATTCTATGTCATCTCTTTCCAAGCTTATTTGGTTAACAGTCTCATTTATATAAACAGTGGCAGCGGCTTTTTCCTCCATCCATTGGTTGAGTGACAGAACAAACTTCTTGTGCTGCCTGGATAGCTCTTCCTGCTTCATACTGGGAGGAAAAAACAGCTCTCAGCTTGAAAAGCACGGCCCTTGGGAAAGGAATAAGGTCTGTTTGGTGAGATAAGCTCTCATCAAGAGGGAAATTGGAAGGGAGACTTATTCTATAGTTGTGTTTGTGATTGCCTAAACTCGGTTGAGATGAGGACAGAAGGAAACACAAAACAAGTGTCAACCTTGCGACTTTTACCACCGCAAAAATGTCCAGGGGTCCTGCCTTGCGCCCATTACCCCACACCAGATAGTAACCACAGGATAGCTTGGTCTAAAGTACAGAATGATTCCAAAGTGGTTTGGAACAGGTAGGTGAGATCTGGCCAGGTGAATGTTTTGATATGTATCATCGACCCGTCTATCACATCATCCAGAGATATGTAGCTGAGCTAGCTTTCTTCTGGACAGAAATTAAGGAAAGAAAGGCTGAGCCCATTTTTACTGTTTAGGGGATGCTTGAAACCTGGTTTGAGCACTCAGTCTTCTCCCTGCTACACCGAATCTGAGTTCGAGAGGAGGTCATTGGCCTCACACACCCATTGCTGGCCGCATCTGTCTGAGGAACACCTATAGACTGGGAGAAACATCTACCCCAGGGCTAACAATAAATGATTTACAGGAGGGACAATTGGTTCCATTGTTCTATTTTCCTTTTTAAAAGCTCCCGCATTGTAAAGACCCTTTTCCTTTTTCTAGTCCCGAGGGCTAGAGATTTTAATTCTGGGGCATTGTGTTTGAAGGCTCAGGAAAGTGAAAACATGCTGTTGGGGAGTTTATTTTGCAGAGTACCAACTCCACAGCAGAGATGCAATACAAAGCAGCCATGCTGGGATAACCAGTACTTTGTGTGGGTAACAGAAGCCTTCTAAGAATGAATTAACCTAAGAATTGAAGAGCCTCAGGAAGCAAAGCAAAATGAGTCAAATCAAAAAACCTAATTAGATGTGTCCTGTTGGATTGAGAAGAAGGGAGTATTCATGAGCAGAAGGTGGTGCCTAAAGAAAACACCCAAAGAGCTGCCATGTATCTAGTTTTGGAGGACCGTCCAGGAGAAGAAATGTGCTGACCACCTGTCGGACCTTGTGGGCACCTCAATATAATCTTTCTTTGTAAAATGAACGCAACAATTGACTGCAGCTTGGTGATGCCAGCCAACCCAGCAACTTCCTTCTGTTTGCCATTTGCCTTTCAATAAGGGTTTGTCTAGAGCAGTGGTTCCAGTGCTCAGAATAAGCAACATTAGCATCACCTGAGAACTTGTTAGGAAGGTAAATTCTTGTCTCTACCCTACTACTTCGGCCCCCCAGACCTACTAAATCAGAAATTCTGGAGGCAGGTGTTAGTAATTCGTGTTTTAACAAGACTTCCAGGTGATTCTGAAGCATGCTCAAGTTTGAGAATCACTAGTTTATAGGGGTGTGATATTGCTGACCAGTTGATATGAATATCCAGCCTGGGTATTATTTTTCTTTTTATTAGTTTAAAAATAGTCTGGTTTATGTAGCAGTCTCCAGTGGTTGTGGCTAGCATGGACCAACGCACAAATCTGCACTGTGAATCCTCAATAGTGATTAGAGTATGCAGTATTTCTCAAACTTAAGTGATCATGAACTTTGTTTTTCATGGAGCATCTCTCAGGACAAGTGTTCTGAGGACCTGGTTTGGAAAATGTATCTCTAGGCCTTGAGGTCTCTACCTGATCCCTGATGCTTTGATATCTTGTGCACCAAGCAACCCTCTGATTATTTCAGCTTCCCAAGAAGATTTTATTTTCCCAATGATGAGGGCTTTTTGAACATTTCTCACTCTGGAAAATCAACATTCTGATATTTACGCATTAGTCTTACAAAATTGTTCACAGTGCTGAATTATTCTTTAAGGGTTTTGCTGTATTTTATTTTTCTTTCAGAATATATCTCTTCCTCTTATGAACTGGGTAAGTCAAGTGTTGTGATCCCCACTTTACAGATGGAGAAAATGAGGCCCACATTGTGAAGTTCTAGTCTGAGGCAATATATCTCAGGAATAAAGAAAAGAAAACTAACAGGTGTAAGATCCTGAGTTATAGGCAATTACATATATCGTCTCATTTAATTACAGATAAAATCTGGAATCTTCTCCTGGGAACCAACCCCATCCTCAGTCCTCCAGTAGATTATAACTGAATATCTCCAACTATTATATATACAATAGATATGTTTTGATATGATAGTTACAATACAATTCCAGCAAGATTTCTTGCTTTGGTAGTGGAGGTTTGCAAACTTAATTCTACAAAGATGGAAACTAAAACCACTGTGCACCTCTATCTTTGGAGGTAGCATTCAAGGTAGTATGTGATTTATAAGCAAACAAGAGTTACTGCTGGAAAGTTGGGTTGCCTCTGAAATTTTACAGGTCTCCTGGCTACAAGAGTTCAAGATTTTCTGTCCTCTTTCCCTCTGCAGCCATCACCACTCCCCACCCACCCATGAGCCTGGGTCATCTCCTAACACGTGTCTCCACCTCTCAACTTGCTCTGCACCAGTTCAGATCAGCGGTCAAACTCCTGACAATTTTTCCACTCCAGCCACACCCTTTCACCTTCGAGTTACTGAATAAAAATATACCTACCCTAGAACTTCATTAATTTCTTTCAGATCACTTATTTCCATCTTCAGAAACTGTATTTCATTATTCGTCCTTGTAATTTTCATTTTTATTTCATTTATCTCAAGAAGATTTAATTTGCGAGCATCTCTGACACATTCTTAAAAGTGAAAATGTTATTAAATTATTTAAGAGCACAATTGTAGATACAGAGTTTTTAAATCATGAAAAGAAAAGATCTTTCTTTGAAATATTCTTTTAAGTGTTTCTGTATCAGGCACCTCCTACTTACTCCTTTTGTCCCTCTACATCTTTTCTACTAATCATTTCTCTTATTTCTGCTGCTGCTATGGTGACCAGCTTTCTATGGACTCTCAACAAATTCGCACATGTGGAGTCTGACAGTCCCTGATTCCTGCTTGTTCCAGGCACTTCTCACCTCCTGCCCAGGTCTTCCTGTCGCCTCTATCAGGGAGCTTCTTTAGATACCCACACCCATGCATGTGTAACCTGGAAGTGCAAGAGGTAGAGCAAACATTGCACCAGTGACAGACAGGGGCCAGTGCATAAGGATTTCCCCCTTTCTCACACTGATGGATGGCAGTGTGAGAAGAGGTACATGTCTTGGGGGCATGTTCTCATAATTAATTAGTATCAGCAGCAAGCAACATCATAATGCACCCCATATTGGTTCTTCCTTCTTCCCTGCTTTGATCTCCTTAGGCCACCCTCCTCTTTGGACTATACTTCTTAAAATAATAATGCAAAAGCCATTGCCTCGACTCTGCTTTCCGGGGAAGCCAATGTGTTAAAGAGCTAATTATTCAACAGTAAATAATAAATCAATGTAATCACATAAGACTTCAGAGGATGACCTCTGTGCATGGCAAATTGATGGACAATATGTAAGAATTTTCGAACACTGCTGTTTAGAAAGGTTCTAGGCTATGACTCATTTCTAAACAAAACATTTCCTAGAAAGTAGCTGGTAGTTTCTCTGAGAGCCAAGCTGTTTTTTCCTCCTTAGGCTATTAATAAACTAATTGCTCATCATAGCAGGACTTCTCAAACTTTGTGTCTCAAATATGCACCTATATCAGCTGGATTTTGCTAAAATGCAGATTCTGATATAGCATGCCTGGGGGGGGGGCTAGAGATGCTGCATTTTATCACAAGCTTCCAGGTGCTGCTCATGCTGCTGGTTCAAAGACTTTGAATAGCAAGGCTTTATGACATAAGGACAATTAAATGTACTTGGTTAAGTATTCAGCTAGGACCTTATCAGCTAGTATGATTTTTTTCCCCTTCTAAAATATCTTTCCTGATTACAAAAACAACACAATCTGGAAAATAAAGAAAAACAACCAAAGAATATACAAACAAAAACACTCTTAATTCCACCTTTGGTGTAGATTCCTTTAAGTCTTATATTCTTTCTCTGTACATATAGTTTGCTGTATTTTCCCTATCAGACTAGACTAAAAAAGCATATTGTTTTATAACCTACTGTATCAGCCAGGGTCCAATTAGGAGATAGAGATTTCACAGTGAATTGAACAGGAAAAGCATGATATAAAGAGTTTTTAATTAAAAGCTAAGTGCTGTTTATGGAGAAAAAGAAAAAAATAATTATTAAAATAAAAATTTAAATATAAAAAATTAATAAAATAAAAAAAGAGTTTTTACCTACAACAAAGGATTAGGGTGATTAGAGGATTAGGGAATGGATAGTAAGAAGTAAAGAGAACTCTAAAGACCTCAAGAATAACTGATATGCAAGCAGCCACTATCCCTAGGGCTGGGAAAGAGTGAGAACTACACTTCATCAGAGAGGGCTGTGGCTCACTGGATGGCAAAGAAGTTCATGAAATGCTGGGGTGGTGAAACTTGCTGGAAATCTACTCTCTGAGGTGTTGGGGGTAGCTGTCTGCAAGGAGGTGCCATCCTTCAGAACTCACTTAAAACTACCCAAGGGGGTCCCGAGGAAGCTCTTCATGGAGAGGTGCCTCACTGGTGGCACTCCACCCTGAGGCTACCCAAAGGGAACTGGGGGAAGCTGCTGGGCACTGTGGACCACTGGACCCTGCAGGGCTCTGGCACGGTTCTCCTGGCATGCCACAGGCACTGCAAGAGTCTGCCAAGCTCAGCACACTGGACCTAGGAAGGGAGCCCCTATCTCCTCCCATATCCCTCCAAAGCCCTCTGCTGACAAAGCTTAGCATCACACTGGTTGGTAAAGGTGAAGATTTGCAGGGCCCAACTTCCTCATCATACAGCGGACAATGATGTGTACATTTAGAGCTGAGAGGCAATAAATGGATAACTGGAAAATCTACTATGGAAAAGAGGGTTTTTATACTTATTAAGATCACTGTTTCAGGTTGGGCTCCCTGGGAAACAGATTCTAAAATTTGTGTGTAGAAAATTTATCGTGTAGTATTCTCAGGGAAGATCTGCTCTGAGGAAATAAAGGATCCAGGGCTGGGAAGAGGAGGAGGTTAAAGTGTGATGAGTTTTGGAGCTGTAATGACACTCTGGGGTTGTTCTACACTGAAGCAAGGGCGCCAGGCCTTTGCAACCTCTCACTGAATGTGGGTGGCAGGTACCTGGAGAAAGAATATAACCTGGGTGAAGACTCTCTTTTTTGTTGAGGGCAATTCCTGGAGAGGAACTCAGCTGTGAGCATCAGCCAACATCTCCTGGCAGCTGTGGAATGAAGTTGGACCCTTACCTTACATCAAATACAAAATGGAACTCAAAATGGGTCAAAGACTTAAGTGTAAGAGCTAAATCTACAAAACTCATAGAAGCAAATGTAGGGGAAAGCTTTAAGACACTGGATTTGGCAATGATATCTTGGATATGATACCAAAAGCACAGTTAACAGAAGAGAAAAACAAAGTAGACTACATCAGAATTAAAAACTTTTGTGCATCAAAGGTCACTATCAACAGAGTGAAAAGGCAACTCATGGAATGGGAGAAAATATTTGCAAATCACATATCTAATAAGTGGCTAATAGCCGGAGTACATAAAGAACTCCTACAACTCAACAATAACAACAAAAAATCTGATTAAAAGATGGGCAAAGGATCTGAAGAGAAATTTCTCCAGAGAAGATATACCAATGGCCAACAAGCACATGGAAAGATGTTCAACATCACTAATCATTGGGGAAATGCAAATCAAAACACAATGAGGTACCACTTCACACCTATTAGGATGGCTCTTAGAAAAAAACAAAAAACAATCCCAAAATAACAAGTATTGGTAAGGATGTGGAAGAAATTGGAGAAAGAAAGAAATTGGAGCCCTTGTGCATTGCTGGTGGCAATGTAAAATGGTGCAGCCCCTGGAAAATAGTATAGCGAATCTTCAAAAAAATCATATGTAGAATTACATATGATCCACACAATCCAGCAAGTCTACTTCTTCATATATGTAAAAAAAAAACTGAAGCCAGGGTCTTGAATGGATATAGGTGAAGTATCCCTGATGCAAAAATCCAAAATCTGAAATGCTCCAAAATCTGAAACTTTTTGAGCACCTACATTAAACTCAAAGGAAATGCTCACTAGAGCATTTTCAGATTAGGGATTCTCAACTGGTAAGTATAATTCAAATATTCCCAAATCTGAAAAAATTCAGAAATCTGAAACACTTCCGGTTCCAGGCATTTCAGATAAGGGATACTCAACTGGTATTTGGACACCCATGTTTATAACAGCATTATTCATGACAGCTAAAATATGGGAACAGCTCAAGTGTCCATCAACAGATGAATGGATAAACATGAATAAACAAAATGTGGTACATACATACAATGAAATATTATTCAGCCTTAGGAAGGAAATTCTGACACATGCTATAATATAAGTGAAACTTGAAGACATGCTAAGGGAAATAAGCCAGTCACAAAAGGAGGAATATTGTATAAGACTTATATGAGGTGCTTAGAATAGTCAAATTCATAGTTACAGAAAGTTGGATGGTAGTTTTGACCAGCCAAACTACCTAATTTAACTGGATAAATTTCAGTTGGGAATAGGCTGATTCATATATATCTTTAGTCTATTTAGAAACTAAATTATATAAGTCTAAGTTTTACATATATTTGTCCACTTAAAATGCAAGAGAAAATTATTATGGATCTCAATGTGTTTGTGTTGTGTAATCTTTCTAGTTACAGTTACACAAGCAATAACTATTCAATTCATCTTGTTAAAGGTACTTGGTTCTATTTTCTGATAAGATAAACTAAATTTCTATAGTTGATAGCTTAAAAGGTACCTTCAAATTCATTGTTAATGCTAGTGGGAAGGGTTTGCAATAGGTAGTATAGTCTGCTGAGTTTCATGCTTTCGATTTCCAGAAGATCAATTGTGTTTTTTCTCATTTCCTCCTGAAAATTTAAATTACATTTAAAAAACTTTATGACATTAAAATAAGATTAATTTCCTAAACAATGCTCTATAAATGTTTCCAGGGGTCAAAATTTAATTTTCATGAAACATCTTCTGCCATTATTTTTACTTGGAACCAAAAGTGGGAAAAGTATCTACTTTACCATCAGTGTTTAAGGTGTCACTGTTAATTTGTCTTTTAACTTCTGTCAATTTTATTCTACTCAGAAAGCATCTTTTCCCTGTGTATATATGTATCTTGTATGCAGTTTCAATCAATTTAAAAGGAAAGATACCATCAAAAAGGGTAACTGAGAAAGAAAGCTACTTATTAAAAAATGGTAATTGCCAATAAAAATATGCTGAGGTGTAAAGAGAACAATGTAGTTCTCTTTATAGTTACACACCTTGACTAACACAGACAAATAGTCTGGTGCGGCTGTCATTATGGTTTTTTTTAGTTGAGGCTACTTTAAGAAAGGAAAAACCAGTCAAAAATCAGTTAGTGGGAAAAAATAGATGTCATGTTTTAAATAAATGGTCATAATGGCTATAGCTATTTTATGACCTGAGAAATTGCATTATGTTTTATGAATTAAAAAAAACCAGCCTACATAATTGTATATACAGCATGATCACTTTTCTGTAAAAAATAAAATTCAATGCAGTCATCACCTTTATCCTGAAAGTGTTAATAGAAAGGCTATTCATCAGTGTTAATTGTGATTATTTTAAGGTGGTGGGAATCATGGTGGTTTCTACTGTCTTCCTTTTGCTTATCTATTTTTTCCCTACATTTCTAGAGTAAATATACATTGCTTTTATAATAGCGAAAATTTATTACTTTAAAAATGGAGAGATTTATCTCTGTTAAGAGATTGCACAGTTCAGATATTAAGTGGATACATACTAGATAATTAGCCACAATAAATATTTTGGCCCCTTCAAATCCTAGACAAAGACATAACTGAAAGAACCAGGCAGGGGAAAGGTTTCCATAGGACCACAGTGCGGCATAAAACACATGCACTCTGTTTATATGCACCTATTGAATTAAGTAGAATTATAAAGTATGGTAATGTAGTATATTCAGACATAAGTATATATAATTGTATTAAAATATAAAACATAAAGTAATGAGTTTTGTTTTTTTTCTTAAGAGATGGGGGTCTCACTCTGTCACCGATGCTAGAGTGCAGTGGCATGATCATAGCTCACTGCAGCCTTAAATTCCTGGCCTCAAGTGATCCTCCTGCCTCGGCCTCGGGTGGCTGGGATTACAGGTGTGAGCCATCATGCCCCGCTACTGAGTGATGAGATTTTAATCAGTACTCTGTAGACTCAAACTCATTTACTTTAGAGCTATATTTCTATATTCTTAGATATTTGATACATAGTAGATTCTTATTCAATTTTTTAAAATCAAACAAACAGACTTCGCCATTCTGGTCATGCCAAGAAAGCATTGTAACACCATCCAGGGCCAAACAGAGGTGTCTCTCTGATGCCTCAGAAGGAAATTATTTAAATATTCTTCAATATTAATTATTTAAATATTCTTCAATTATTTAAAAGTTCTTCACTATGTCTTTTACAGGGACCAGGTTAGTGTAATTGAAAGATTTTCTGTCTATTTTCACTAACCGCACAGTCTACTTCAGTGGAACAGATGTCAAATAATCTTCCACCAGTTATGCAAGGAATTGCATATAGAGAACTGAGTTAAATGACACCATGCAAGCAATTTATTCCAGAGAGCGTATGTTTGTTTGTTTTAAGCTATGCTTACATACTGGTGGCCTGAGCATGTGCCCATGTGGCCCACCTCTTAAATAAGCTCTGTTATCACCTGTGCTGCTTTTCCTAAATGGGCTTGCCCTCCTTCATAGCATAGGACCATAATTCAGTTTTCTGTGTGGAAAATCAGCCAACAATGTACAGTTGATCAACACTTGGGCAAATACTCACTGAATTGAGAGAAAAACATTTTTAAATTCAGGGTAAATATCTTCCTTATTCATCTACTTAATACTTTAACAGAGCTGACACCAGATGAAAATATGATGAAGAAATATGTGGAAGATTGAAAAAAATAGCTCTTATAGATAATACAATACCAATTGTTTAACAGCTACAGCAATGTTCTGAAGAAAGATCCTAACTTCTTCATTGCATTTAAAATAGTCACTTTGCAATGATTGTTCTGAAAAAAAAAATTAGAAAATTAAGATCTCGTTTATCTGTCCAAATCATACATAACCCTCTATAATCTAACTCAAATGTTTTTGTTTTGTTTTTTTGTTTTTTTTTTGAGACAGAGTCTCGCTTTCTTGCCTAGGCTAGAGTGAGTGCCGTGGCGTCAGCCTAGCTCACAGCAACCTCAAACTCCTGGGCTCAAGCGATCCTCCTGCCTCAGCCTCCCGAGTAGCTGGGACTACAGGCATGCGCCACCATGCCCGGCTGATTTTTATATTATATATATTAGTTGGCCAATTAATTTCTTTCTATTTTTATGGTAGAGACGGGGTCTCGCTCAGGCTGGTTTTGAACTCCTGACCTTGAGCAATCCGCCCGCCTCGGCCTCCCAGAGTGCTGGGATTACAGGTGTGAGCCACCGCGCCCGGCCTACTCAAATGTTTACTTAGCTAAAAGTTACATCTTCTATTTCTGAATTTCTATTGTGCTTTACATAAATATCTTCTAATTCTTAGTATTCTAATTTAGATGTGTATTTTATGCTCTTTAAAGACAAACTCCTTTTAAGAGTCATCTTTGCACCACCTATGGTATTGAAAAAAAAAAAAGAGAGACAAGGATCTGTATAGAAAAATCAATAAATATTTATGAAAGGGACAAATCTAACATGCCTATATTCAGGTTTAAAATGGTTTCATATGTATGCATACATATATATGATAAACATAATATTTTGTGAAAACATGCATTGAATTAATTGTTGGAAAAAATCCATTATGTAACTTTTACTTCTGTGCAAAAATTTGAGGCATGGGATGAAACTAAATATTTGTAAAACTGGTAGGTGTGAAGTAGACAGTTTCTATCCCTTTTTGCTCATCACCATACTTCCTAACCTCTCCTTTTCTCTCCTGCTCTGTAAGTAGAAAGCACTTGAGAAGAGAGGCTTGCAAAATGTTGGTAAAAGGTAATGAAGACACAGAATGGGAAGAAGGAAGGAAAAAGAAAGGATACATAGACAAGAAGAGAGAACAGAGGAAGCTCTACTTATATTGGCTTTATTACCAGGGCATTACATGGACTCTAAATGGATCCCAGGGCCTGAGTCCTCTTGTGTGACAGGAGTTTGATATGATTATTATTTCACCTATTTAATAAATTAATGTATTGTCCAAACTGATTCTTCTGAACTTATAATGATTCCCATTCATAGGTGATAAATTTAAGACGTTTGAGGTCATATCAAATGTACAAAGTTACAAACCTGATCAGTGATAGAGTATTAATTCAAACCCAAGTGATGTGACCCAGGGCCCATGTTCTTCACGGCCATACCCATCTCTCAGATGAGTAAATAGCAACGTCTACTCTCAGCTCTAGAGAATTTGAACTCTCTTCCTGAACTAAGCTCTCAAACCAAGTGAAAGTCAGAATTTGGAAGAGTGTTAAAGGCACTGACATTGCTTTTTTTATATGGAGTAAATGAATACAAGTGTGTCCTGCTTACAGATGGCCTGGAGAGCTACAAATTTTATAACTCATACTCAGGGCAAGAAGGCTTCATGAAATTGTTTTCCTATGAAAAACTTTCTGAGGATCCAGACATCATTAGGAGAAACAGTGTTTGGGCATAAGTACTAGGGTTGAAGGGACATGCTGGTCTAGAGATTGAGCATGAAGAGAGTTCAAGGTCCTAGTTCTATCGTTGACAACGACCTTGGATATATTTGAATAATTTAGGTATTGATAATTTAACTCTCTTCATGATATTTGTCCAAGCATATCTGATAGGAATTGTGAAATTAAATTAGTTTATCTAAGAAGGAAAAAGGAAATTCTCCCAAACAAACAGTAACAGTGTAACATAAATCAACATGATTATCCTGAAGCTACAAGATAATTATAGTGAAGTAAGTAATGAGAAGCTTTGTCTTTAACCTAAATGATTCTTGGGTTGAACAAGAAATGCCCTTCTTAGACTATCTTACCTTAAACTTAGGTGACTTGAGGCTCAGGTTTCTAACTGAAGAACTATTTTAACCCAGCTCCATCCCAGGTTGTGTTCTGTTAGAATATCCTAAACATCCTTTTACATCCAATTTTCCTTGCCCAATACAACAGGAGGCTCTCAAACACTCCTTTTCCTTTCGGCATGTTAAATTCTCCAGTTTGCCATGGCAAAACGTGGGAGGAAATTAACTTGCAAAGGAAAGGCAGGGAGAGAGAACTGAAAATCCAACGCATAGTCTAAATGCAGGTGAATAATACTCAGGTCGCCGGCAAAGAGCAGTGGCCTGGGAGTCCGGGATTTGTCACCAGCTACTAGAGTGAGCTAGTCCAAGTCACCCAGGCCGTAGTAAAGCGGGAGCGCTGGGCTCTTGGTCCCACCCCGCCGCTTCTCTCTCTCCCTAGCCTGCAGGGAGAGAAGCCTTGGGTTGGGGAGGAAAGTCCTGGCTGAGGGTTCCCGGAGCACAGCCTCTGAGGGACGCCCCACCCTGCGCCCCGGGGGCGCTCACCCACAACAAAGAGCTGCTCCAGCGCGGCGGCCGCGATCGAGGAGCCCAGGGTGGAGGGGAAGGTGCATAACTCCAGCGAAGGGCCGGTGGTGACGGCGGCCTCGTGTACCACCTTCTCGCTAAACCCCCTTTCTGGGGTCCAGTTGCTCAGGGCCATCTTGCTGCTCAGGCGCGGCGCCTCTGAGGCCAGAGCCAAGGACGGCCGGTTGCCACGGGAAACAAAGACGCCGGGGTCCCGGGCGCCCCCGCGTGGTCGGCACCTGCGGTGAGTCCCTCCCTGGTTCTCTAACTGTCGGCAGGAACCAGGGGGTCCTGGAAGGGTGACTCCCTGCTTAGCAGACCTTTCCCCCTTTCCCTTTTCCTTTCTTTAATTCAGGTCTTGTGCCTTTCTCGTGGACCACTGGAGTCATAATAATGATCATTTTTGAACCCATCTCTGTGTCAGGTGCTACAGGAGGACATTTATATACTTAATCTTGACTTTGTCAGACAGATTCTTTCATCATTCTCACTTTTACAGATAAATAAACTGAGGCACTAATGAGTAGATAAACCTCCCAAGGCCACAGAGGATAATATTGGATTTGAAGAGGAGTCTGTAAAAGTCTTTCTACTATGCTACAAAACCTGTCCCTTGCACTCTTTTAGAACTTTCCCTGTGTCTGCTTTATCACTGACTGAGCACATTTTGCTTTGGACTATGTGATTTTCTTCTTTGCCTGTCTTCCCATCCTACTGGGGGCTCTTCAGTGACAGGGACAGGATAGTATTTCTTTTTCTCTGCATCTCTAAAATCCATCTTAGCGCCAGGCTTGGTCTGAGTGTAACTGTTAGATCTCTTTCCTCTGGCTGGTTAGAGAGAAGCAAAAATGATTTAACCCTCCCCTTCTTAACTTTTCTTTACAGATGGCAACATTGAAATCCGAATGATAGTAACAGTAATAATAGGTATCAATTGTTAAATGCTTATTTTGTTCCAGGCACTATTCTAAATACTTTCAGTACCCCATTTAACCCTCACAGTAATCCTTCGTGGTAGGTATTATTGCCCACTTTGCAAACAAGGACACTGAACTATGCCTTGAATCACTGTGCTACACTGCCTTGGAGGGGTCACAGCACATCAACAGCAGCACTGGTTACAGAATCCAAGCCTCCTGCGTCCAGGGAGAGCCATCCTGGGTCTTTCTTTCTTTCTTTCTTTCTTTCTTTCTTCTTCTCTTCTTTCTTCTTGCTGCTTGGCTTGCTTGCTGCTTGCTTGCTTGCTTGCTTGCCTGCCTGGCTTGCTTGCGGGATTGTTGGGTCGTTAGTATTCAGATCTGTTCCTGCCCTTCTGTATTCTCCTCTGTGTGGCAGGAGCAAGAAGCAGCCTGGAAACTACATTTACCAAACATCCCTGCCAGTCAGCTGGTTTCTAGGTAAGTTCTATCCATGGGAGACACTTGTGAGAGATGAGAAAGCCAAGAAACCTTTCTATTTCTGTCTCCAGGCATGGTAGTTTCAGGCTGCAGTTGACTGGAGGTTCCAGGAGTTTTAGTGGCTCCAGAGGTGGCAGGAGTGGGATCCAGCACTCCTAGCGATCCCTAGTTGCTCAGCACTAAATGTGAGCATGTGGGCAAGTACAGGGCATCTGATCTCTGAGGTCTTCTTTACCTACTTCGTCTTTGGCTTCTAGAGCCCTTATAACAGTCCCTGTGATAAATTCCTCTTTTTTAGACATATCTAGACTGGGCTACTTCAAGCCAATCTGTTTTCACCAGAATATTTTTCCTGTTCGTCACCCCATTTGGATCAAATTGCTCTCCATTATCTATGAATGAAGGCTAATCCTAAGGGGGCATTGGTGTCCTCACCCTTTATTGGATTTGTTACAGATTTTCTGGACTTTTATATTGCTGTATTTCTATTCTTATCCCCCAAACTTTCTTTTCCCTGAAAATGCTTTGTGAGAAATATCCAGCTTCTACTTTGTCTCATGGTTCCTTTTACGTGGGATGCCCCTTCCAAAATTCAACCCATCCATTTCAAAAGGAACTTTATTAATTCTAACATAGAAATCTGGGCAAACATCATGACTAGACATTTCATAAAAGAAAAAGAATTCCAAGAAACATCTTGAAAGGATGTTAAACTCATTAGCATTCAAAGAAAAAAATAATATGCCCATCTCGTCATTGTATTATTAAGATTTTAAAAATAATAATGCAAAGTATTGACACTGAGAATTGAATTACTATAACTTATCTGGAGGACAATTAGGAAATTCATATGAGGAGCTTTAGCATATAGTAATACTTCTAAGAATTATTCTTAAAGAAATAATCATAGGTATATCTAAGGATATAGGTATGAACTTGTTTATCTATTTATGTGTTTATCGACACAGAGTCTCACTCTGTCACCTAGGCTGGAAAGTAGTGGCACAATCAAAGCTCACTGTACCCTCGAACTCCTGAGCTCAAGGGATCCTTCTTCTCACCCTCCCATGTAGCTAGAACTACAGGCAACAGCCACCACATCTGGATAATTTTAAAAATTTTTTGTAGAGACTAGGTCTTGCTGTGTTGCCCAGGCTGGTCTTGAACTCTTGGCCTCAAGCACTCCTCCCTCCTTGGCCTCCCAAAGTGCTGGGATTACAGGTATGAGCCACTGCACCTGGCCACAGTTCTATTTTAAATAGTGAAAAATAACAAACAGCCCAATGACCTACAGTAGGACGCTGTTTTTAAGTAAGGTATGGGACATCCATGCAGTGAAACAACCAAGGAGGTAGGCAACCATGTGCTTAGGGGCACAGGTTCTGGTGGATTTAAAAGAGTTTGACCACTGACTGGATGGAGTGTTGCCTGAGACAGCCTCCTCAGTAATGCCACCAGCATCTCAGCTCTAAAAGGGTGGTAGCACCTCTTAGTTCAGAGGTTTGTTGCAAGAGTTAAATTAAGTGAGCACTTAATGCTGTGCCTGACACATCGCAGATACTTAAACGCTATGTAATGGTAAAGTAATAATATGGTAGTTATTAAAAATAAGTGTTAGAAATGTACATGTACACACACATATAAAGTGGGAAAAGCAAGTGCAAAAAGAAAGGTATAATATTCAATTTTTACAAATCCATATATCTATAGGGAAGTGTATAAGTATAGCAGGTTCTTGAATAACATCATTTCATTAGAGATCGTTTCGTTATAAGGTTGATGAGGAAAAAAAAAATGATTCCCACTGGGACCATCAGCTGGTAGAGTTTGCACGTTCTCCCTACGTATGCATGGGTTTTTTTCCAGGTACTCTGATTTCCTTCGACATCTTAAAGATGTGCATGTTAGGTAAATTGGCCCATCTACGAGGTCTCAGTCTGCGTGTGAGTGTGTGTGAGTGCACCCTACGAGGGAATGGAGTCTTGTCCAGAGTTGGTTCCCACCCTGCACCCTGAGCTGCCAAGAGAGGCTCTGGCCACCCAAGACACTGAACTAACTGGAGTAAGTGGGTAAATAATTTTCTTATGTGTTTTAATTAAACTTTATTTACTGTATGTACAGCTGAAATTTATTTCAAGTTTAACATTAGAAGCGCTTTGGTCTTCATTTAGAAGTTTGGTGATGCTTTTGCAACCAGAAAAATGCCACAGGGACTTAACTCTTGCTTGTATCAATTAGCCTATGGTAAAACTGGTTTTGTTATACATCGTTTTGCTTAAAGGTGAAGTTTCCAAAAACCTATCAACATTAAGTGAGGACTTACTGTATATCACTATACGTATAGAAAATGGTCTGAGAAGAATTGTTTACTAAAATAACTGCTTAGTGAAATTATAGATGTGGTAGGTAAAATAGTGCCTCCCCAAAATGTCCACATCCTAGTCTTTAGAACTTGTGAATCGAGAGCCTCTAGAAAGAATGCAGCCATGTTGACATCTTGATTTTAGCCCATTTAGACCAATTTTAGACTGCTGACCTCCAGAATGGCAAAACAAGAAAGCTGTGGTGTTTTAAACCACTAGGTTTGTGCTCATTTGTTACAGCAGCCATAGGAAGTAATACAATGAGTAATGTTAACTTTTTTCTTAATAATACTTCTATATTTGAATGTTTAGTCATATGCATGTATACCTTTAATTAGAAAAAAGTAAAGCTTTTTAAATTTAGAAACAATGTAGGAAGACAAACAAATAAAACATACGAATTTAAAGTAGTTAAACATAGAAAAAAAGCTTTCTGATTCTTCAGTACCTACAGATGGTGTTCACTGGGCCCAATGCCATGTCCTCTTCTGTCATGCATCTTTTTACTTCGGTAACACAAACAGATACATTCCTCCTCCAGTCGGTATTTTGAAGCCAGACTTTTGTTCAGTAGCTAGGATGACATATTAGAATCCCCAGTTCTATGTTGACATTGATCTTTTAGTTATCGTAAGCCGGTTTGTTTGTTTTCCCCCTGCTGCTGATAGAGCCAGGAGGAGAAGCCACCTGCTCCATGGAGTTTGAGTCCTAATTTGCACAGGCATGTAGGATTCAGGCACTTTTGCAGTCTCTACTGTGTGTGAGGTCTGTATGGTATTTGATGACGACATTGCTCTTGCAGCTGCTTCTTTGCCTAAAGCTAGTACCTCTAGGGAAAGCCTAGACTTATTGGTGTGTTTCTAGACCCTGGGTTAGACCAAGCCAAGATCCCACTCTCAGCAGATGTGTCAGACACTTCACATGTAAAAAGTGGCTGCATGTCTCAGTGCCTTGGGCTCAGTTTCTCAGGATCCGTGATGGTTCAGTACTGGACTGTGCTGAAGCGAGAATTCTAGCCAACTGAGTCTCTGTTTTGTTCACTCCTGGCCCTACAAGTGCCAAGTACAGAGCCTAACATCCAGCACAGGCCCTGTTTCTCCATCAGTGTTTGAGTATCTTTCTGCTCTGCCATTTTAGCATGTTGTCGTTTCATCCTCAAGCTTATTGCCTCTTGGTCACTGATAGCTACTGCAGTCCCAGGCATCCTACCCTTGTACAAAGCAGAGAAGAGTGGAAGGGAGCCATACTTGGAAGCCACTCTTCCCTTTCCGTGGGGAAGGAAATCTTCCCAGAGCCCCTCATGCTTCCTTTTATGCCTCAATGGCCAGAGCTGAACCACAAGGCCCACTCATGAAAGGGAAATTAGGACAGTGAGTGGATTTCTGGCCTCTCTGAGGAGATGGCTGGAGAGAAGAGGTTGAGGAGCTGGAGGATTTTCCACAGAATGTCAG